TTGCGCCCGTCTTGTTGAAGCTACCACGGCCTGGTGACGGACCTCGCGTAAGAGGTGGCCCATCGCTCCGCATTGGTAGTGGTGGTGGTGACCCGTAGTGACTTGGCGGTCCTCTTGGCCCAACGTTCCTTCGAGGAGAAGATCTGCCACGCCAACGTGGAGGCGGAGATCTTGCGCAACTTTGTCCTCGCTGCGGTGATCTGCCACGGTTGAAGAATCGTGACGGAAAGCAGCTCCGTCCACGACCTTGACCTCGCTGCGGTGATCTGCCGCGGTTGAAGAATCGTGATGGCGAGCGGCTCCGTTCACGGCCTCGTCGTTGGGGACCTTGCATGTCAGGTCCAACACTGCGTAGCCCCATCTCATGGGACTAAGCGTCGGTGGTTATAATCGTAGGACCTTGACAGCTCTTGGCGTCTGCATACATCTGCGTTGGTGTGGTGGAGCGGGATCAGCAAAATTCTTGAGAGAGCTGGATCCGGCTTGCCACTGTGCCCAGGACACCGACTATAGGAGGGGTACTCCTGTTGACCCGTGATCAACAGAACTTCCTCACCTTGTGTACCCGTCGGTAGGACTGGACCTTGCTCCTACGGTAACTACAGGAGAGGTCCAAGTGTTAAAGATCTTGAATGTCTTGGCGAGACGCAGGGATGTAGTTCATAGCGCGGAAAGTCTTCGCTCTGCTGCCAGGCAAGTTGATCCGTGGTCCACGTGAGTAGTCGAACGTAGATCACCGGTGGCGGATCTTCTATCCAGCCGTGAAGGTTGTCTTGGTGTGTTGGTAGTTGTTGATCCCTTTGAGTTGCTTGCAGTCTCCGATGACTGGATCTTGGGGGGTTGAGAGGTCGATGGATCTTCACGGCCAAGCACTTAATGCCGTGGATCCGAAGCTTGCACGTATAGAATAAGTATTAGGTACTTGGATCTGGCCAATATATTATCCCGTTATCCAAACTACACTAAGTACAATATTCCTAATACGAAATCATCTTTAATAACCGGTATATGTCTTGATCCGAGGTGTCCGTAATACACTAAGTGTGGATCAAATAAAGAAACCAGCCACTTGTGCCCAATGATGCAAATTCGATTCTCTGTTATTCCTAAGCCTTTGATCCTGATTTGTCCTATTCTCTACTACCTGGATCCACATACCTTCCGTCCCAGCAGCCGCTTTTCTTCGAATCTGGATGTATATCCCTGATTACATACCTTGCTTACCTGATCCTGATTGGTCTTGGGTAATCATATCTGGATCAGGTATAATCATACCCAGATCAGGTGCCTATAATTAGGTTCTTCCAGATTGGCCCAATCAGTTGATCTGAGTCCATCAGACCTTCTCAGATCTGGATCCACGGTAATTGCCGTAGATCCGGGGTACCTGTCACTCCACTTAATCTGGTCACTTCCTGTCCGCAATTTTCCGGAATTCACTTCACCACAATCGCCTCCTGTCTGTAGTCGTTGCTGCTCAACGGTATCGCTGCAGACACGTTTCTGATTCGCCACCTATTCCAGACTTCCGATCAGTAATGTCCAACGCCGGCAAGGCTCCGAGTCCAAACGGATCCTCGAGTGGTGGATCGCCTGTGTCCGCCTTCGATCCCCATACAACACGCGAGGAACTTCACCGGTATGCCACGCGCCTCTTTCGTCGTGTTGGCGAGCTCACGACCGATCTGGCCATCCAGACTCTTCCCCGAGGCTCGGATCTGCAGTCGGGCGAGAACCAGGACCGACTAGACGACCTTCGCGACAACATCCATGAGCAGGACGAGCCATGTCGTTCATGAAATAGACGATTAACGGTTTTCGCGTTGAGCGGGACGATCTACAAGCGTCGATGGACGAGAGCAACCCGCCCCCTCTAGATCCACAGCTTTCCGCTGCGAACATGCGCGCCCTCGTAGATCAGGTCGCGGGTCTGGAGTCTCAAGTGGGGCGGTTGTTGCAGGAGTGGAAGCACGTTGGCGAGGAGATCCTGGATCTGCAGGAGCAATCCACATGGCGGTTCGCGGCCGTGATCAGGCCGCTGACCTGTTGCAAGTCACTGAAGCGGTGCTTCGACACATGTGTCTGGTCTTGGATCAGACTGAGGCATATTTGCTGGTCGCCAAGCAAGTCGCAGCCACAGTTTCGCCGGATTAACCGTCTCCAGATCTCCGAACTCAACTGGAGCACCTAACGGCCAAGCATGGCAATCTTCAGGATCGCTTCGATCAGGTCTCCCAGGAGCGTGACACCTTGAACGCCAAAAGTCCAGGCCAAGAATCGTGAAGCCGACGAACTCCAAGATCAGATCCGGAAGGGTATTGATGAGATAAAGCAGGAGAAGGCGCGTTATGAGCTGCTTCGCGTTAATCTCGTAGTGGCCGTCAAGCGTCAGAAGGGATATTGCGATGAGAGTGAAGATATGAGTCCCTCGAGTCTAGATCTGGATCATATCCCCTCACTAACTTCTTTCCCTTTTATAGAGCGTGATATCACCGTCGCCCGAACAGCGTATGCGGACGCTGAGCGCTCGATCACCGAGCGGAAGACCAAGATCCTGGCCTTGTACCGTCAACTGGTCACCCTGAACCAGAAACGCGCGAATCTACGGAGAGAGTTGCGCACTGCATTGCAGATGTTGTCTACCGTGGCCGCCGGGATGGGATCAAGCCCTCCTACCACCAATCTCTGTCTTGATAAGACTATGATCAAGAATAGTCCAACGCATCTCCTAATGATCTAACAGGGTCGGATCCTTCCTCAAAGGATCGGGATCCCGACTTCACTCCTCCGCCTAATGAGTCAGACGAGTCGTCTTCCGACGATAACCGCCAGGATCTTCCCCCAGGCAAGCGATTTCGCGGTCCATCCCCTTCACAAGACACGGATCATCCTTCGAAAGACAAAGGCCCCGATGTCCGAGGACCACAAGAAAGACCTGGATCGCGATGTAGATCCAGACGACTACTACATGCGTGGTGGTTCTGACGCCGAGGAAGAGCTGGATCATGACTAGGATTCACTTGATCAACCTCTGGAAAAGGAGAATGACGACGCAAGTCCTCCTCCACCACATGTTCCTCGCTACTTAACGTACGAGTCGGGCGGATCGGGGGGGATCTGGTGTTCCCCATGGCGCGGATACCGCCTCCAAGTCGACCCCCACCAAGTCCAAGCCCCGATCCACGAGCGACCCAAAGTCTCCTGAGAATGCGGATCCACAGGAAGACGACGAAGGATCAGACGCCGACACTTCACCAGATAATTCGGCCGAAGGCGACCGCGATGAGGCCCCCGACGATATGTTACAGGCACAGACGCTGATAGCTCTCTCTCGATCGCGATCCGAGCAACAGCGACGCAACCATGCTGCTTTTCGTCGTACCGGTGCCGACGGAGCCGGAGATCCTGGATCGGGTGGCAATTCAGATGGTAATGCCTCGAGCGGTGGCGACAGCGGCGGATCCCCTACGGATCCAGCTGGGGTACCTCTTCCCACCACTATGCCCCCCAGACGCCCATTCGCCGCACATAATGAATGTATCCTGGCCGTCAGCAGACTCGCCGGTATAACATCGCTGACGTGGATCCGTGGGTGATCCAACGGATCAACAATCTGACGATCAGGACCATGACTCTGGAAGTGTTGTCTCGTGTGTTGCCGTTTCGCCCTGAGTGGATCTTCCCCGGTCATGTCCCTCGGACGGCAACCCCCAGGGCAGATCATTACTGCAGTCACTTGATCACGGCCAAGAACGTCCGCGATCTCATGGCGACTCTACCCTGGAACGTTCTCACTGGCGCCAATATTCCCGATCCAATATCTTTCGAGATCACCGTCGATGGTCGTCTGGGGTTTCTGTTCGAGAGGTACTCTGCGGTGGAGCTCCAGAATTTGATCGTATACTGGGAGTCTACGCAGTGTTTTCCAGTCTCACTGGCATTGGTGCGCAGCGATCCCTATTTGGCGCTCTTGGTCGTAGAGAGAAAGAATCGCCGACCCCATGCTGGCGCTAGGTGGAAGCAGCTCTTACAGCTCTTCTTGATCGCCATGCGCGGAGGCTGGTGTGACCTGGATCTGATACTGGATCCGTTTTTTCTGCACTCCGGATGAAGTGGACTGGTATCCGACATCGAGGCTCGTAAAGCTAACCTCACGAACCCACAACTACACCCCCGCGAACCGGCGACCCTGATCGAGGCCCTTGCCGAGTTTGATGCTGCAGATCACTGGCGTACGCGTTATCGACTATATCACGCGGATCACCCGGCTAGTAAGATCACGTGTCTGGTCCGCAAATCTTCAACATGGCGGCATTGAACCCCAATGCGCCACCCATTCGTCCGCAACAGTGACCCAGACGTCTCCCCATACGTTCTGTCCAGATCATAGTCATTAACTGTATTACACATCACTTTAATTCCAGATCTTGGCTCGTTGACATCTTAAATGTCTATCATGTCGTTTTACACAGATCCTCACTCCAACGCCTTGACACTTGTTGTTAGCCAATCGATCCATAAACTCCGAGATAATATAGCCATAGATTCCCAATTGGACTTCGCATTCGTTCGTTCCCATATCCACACACTATATCCATTTGCTCAACACATATCCTCAATCGGCACTTTGCCCTATACAGTGCTATGTAAACCCTAGCCTGGCTCCGGATCACTTCGCTCGTGCCAAATCTGCGGAAAACACATTCTTCGTATATCTCAGCGATCGTCTGTGCAGCTCTAGAGGCGCTGGCCTTGACGATCACGTTTCCCGAGAATAAATCTACGAAGATCAACAACTCTGTTTTGCCATTGAAAGATCTGGGCAGCGAAGGTATGTGATCCATGGCGATGATCTGGAACGGGTATGTTGCCTGAAGGTTACCAGGCGGCTTACCCTGAATCCGAGTTCGTCCTTTGCCTGTTTCACAATCGACACATTCTCCCACATATCACTGTGCACTCTTGTATAACCCTCTCCAGTGGAAGTGGTCGCGGTCCAATCATAGGTGCGACCTGTTCCTTGATGACCACCCTGCAGACTCGTACGTATGATAGTGATGCAGAATATCTTGCTGAAGAGGCTCAGGCACCACCAATCGCATCAACTTGTCTCGATCCGCGGCAGCCTCCTTAGTCGTCGGACAGTAGAAGAGTAGATCCGACTGATCCATTTCATAATTCATGGCAATGGATCCAAATACTCTAGCATCTTCTTGTGTCAGATCTCGGATCTCTCCAACCAAATACTTCTTCAATCCTGAGATCCACGACTCCTCATCTTGTGCTTGCCGGATCCGCTCGAGCCGCAGTTCTCTCACAACTTCCTCTCGCAATGGTTCCGGATCAAACCCAGCTTGCACTCCAGATCTAGCCTTAGATCGGGTCGTTACAGAAGACATTTGTGCTGTAGTGGGCCTAGGGCTCACTAGGTAGCTTACACGTGTGCGCACGTGTAGGAGGAAGCGTAGGTGTTCCTAGGTTGTATAGCGTACACACGCATCGTGTGTACGGTAAGACAAGATAGGAGCAAGATAGCGTAAAATGAGAACTGTATTATTTGTTTAAGGGTTTCCTTCCTAAACTGTTTATCGAATATCTAAGGGACTGTCAGCGGTTGGCTGACAGTGATTCGCATCGCTGATTGGTAGAGGTGTGGCGCACTCTACCAATGGGATCCCTTCAAATGCAGTCTTGACACCAAGACGGGAAACCTCTAACTCTAACCGATTAGCGTTACGGTTAGAGTTTCGTGTACCCCCGTTACACCACCCCCGTTAATATTTGACGTGCAGGTCACAACACGTCAATCCAAGCCTTGACGATCCCGTCGAGCCTCCGAGAGAACTCCGCGCTCATTTCGCAATGAGCACATCTCTGCGAACACCAGCGTCTTCGCCAGTGTCCGCGTCGACCTCAGTGTCGACGCCTGCTTCCGCGCCTGTGTCGGCCGCTACGCCGACACCCCCAAGTGGTGTGACAGAGAACTTCTCTGTCGACAAGTACTTCGAGCCCCAGGAGAAGAAGCGCGCTGAGGATGTCAAGACAGTCTGTCCGTCGACTGTCTTCGAAGGTTCGTCGGTCCACGTGACCGACGGCGGCATCCCGTTGGAACGTGCCACGGACAGAACTATGTGTCTGCCGGCGACGTCGGGCGCTCTTCATATGGTGAACCCCGGGTTGACCAATGGCTTCTGTCTTTCTGAGAAGCAAAAAAAATCGCGTCTTAGACAAAGTCCACCACTTGAGAGCTTAACCCCGGGTTCAGCTTGTCGATCTTGTTTGCGCCTATGCCCTGCCTAGACTCGCACCTTGTGTTCGCATCAGTCCCAGACTATGCGTGGCTCTTCGTAGCGTCAGTGCCCGGCACTGACGTATTATTTGTGCTCACAGCAAGACCCGTCTGTGTCTGAGTATTCTCTGTATCAGTGCCCGGCACTGATACTACATACGTGATCGCAACAGACCCTGTCTGTGCGTGAGGCTTCTCAGTATCAATATCCTGTATTGATACATCACTTGTGCTTGCAACAGGCTCTGCCTCTGCATGGTTCTTCGCGGTGTCTGTGCCCGGTACAGACGTGTTGCCATTGGTCGTAGCAGGTTCCACCTGCTCATAGTTCTTCACAGTGTCAGTGCTCGACACTGACACGTCACCTTGGGCCACAGCGTGGCGCTGTCTCGTGCGGGCTCTCGCTCTCGCACGTAACTTCACTGTGTCAGTGCTGGGCACTGACACAACTTCTTCTGAGGCATCCGGCTGCCTTGTGCGGGCTCTTGCTCTCGCACATGTCCTTATAACTGATATGTCCGTATCAGTTGTCTTCTACGGTTGATCGACATCAACCGTGGCACCCCTCCCCCACATAAAAAGGAAGACACCCGTTTTCCTTACATCGTATAGTAGACGTGCACACGGTACTAGTGTACACGTAAGTGAGAGGCCAACTTCCGACGTACCGTATCTGAAGGAGCTGAGAGAAACTCGATCAGCTCCTGCGTCTGCGTCAAGCGCAAACGCAGTCTTCTCCGTGGATTTTTTTTCGGTCGTCGCGACAACACGTGTGCGACGACATTCAACCTTCCTGGTTTTGTGGACCCGGAATTCGTACACCAGGGGGGGGACAACCATCTCGCCCGAAGGACGATATGTGCAGCGACTTCCTCAATGCCCGCAACGTCGCCTGGTCGGTATAGACCACGAGCGACGTGTTGCCGAGGGATCGCACTCGGCACATCGGAAGTGTATGCTTCATGACAAGGGTTTCCTTGTCATGCACTGGATCATCAACGCGCATTCGATCGCGAAATCGGATGAGTACGGGAAAAGGGACGATCTTGGACAGCCACCGCCAAGTTCGGCGCAGCAGCCAAACCCAGCTTGGCCGCTTCTAACGGCTGCGACCACGCAGCGGTCCATTTCCGTGCGCGTTTCTTCTTCCCGTCCACAGCCCGGCTGTGAACGAATATCATGTAGAAGCAGTTCGGTGCGAAGCCGCGCGCCGAACACAAGCAATGCGTCGCACACCTTGCTTGGTCCCGCGACAGTAGCCACTGTCGCGTCTGGATACTTCTGCCGCGGGAATCTCGTCCGAGAGCACATCCATGTGCTCTCGCAGAATCTTGCAACTCTGCTCGTCCAAGCGTTCCTGCTTCGTCTTGCCACTGAGAGTATCATCACTCTCTGTGGGGCTTCCCGTGAAGAGTTGTCTCAACTCCTCTGCTTCGCTTGTCATTCTTTCGTAGTCCGATTGAATGCATAGCTGTTCGATGCGTCCATCGTACAGGTCCTTTGCGAAGCGCTTCCAGCTCATGACTGGAAGCGAGGTCAATTCCGACGTATCAGTCGGAGGGTTCTCCAACTCCATCTTCTTGTACTGGTATCCAGCACATACCCGCGTCAAGACGTTCAACATCTCGACGGCCACTGTCGGCTCTTGTGTCTGTCCGGTAGACATACCATGAAGAGTCTCGATCCCGGACCGAGACTTGCGCAGCGTCTTGTGCTTGCGCCGTCGCTTCTTCTTGTGAGTCTCGGATTCACTTGCGTTTCGTCCAGACCTGGCCATGGACGAATGTTCCTTGATACCACCGGTAGACATTCCAGTCTGCGGGCGATCACCAGTGGGTTCTTGTACCCGCGGGCACGCGTCATCAAGCCCGGCTTGATCGCGCCCTGCTTCGTGCAGCCCGGCTGCACGACAGCACGCAACCTTTAGTGCTGGACGTTTGCAACCGTCCACACAGCTTGTCGCATTGACTCCCGGAGTCGATGCATTGTCGTCACCTCTACGCCTTACGGTGAAGCAGTGTGTCGCAACTCCCGGAGTCGACACGCTCTTGTCACCTCGACGCCTTGCGGCGGAGAATTTCTTCGTAGTGTCTCGGATGCATCATTAGGTGTATCCGCTGCGCTAACAGGGCCATCGCTCTCTGTTGCGCCGCGGCGTCCGAAACGTACGCCCGTACGCTTCTCTCAGTCGATAATAAGATCATGCCGGGCATGCCCAACACCATGTCGAACTTGTCGCCCAAGCCCAGGACGAGAAGTTCTTCCACAAACACCCGGTGTTTGTACGAGACGCGTGCGCAAATAACGCGCTTCTCGGTCTTAACGATGGCACCCGTTGCCAATCGCACTTCCAACTGATTTCGCGGCACATCCTTCCCCTCGAAGTCCAACAACAAAAGACATTGCTGTCGAACAAGTTGTTCGACACGTCCGAGTCTTCCAACACTCGAAGAGAATCCGCTCTCTTCGTCATCGACGTCATATTCAAGATGACAAGGATTGGCTTGTCATCTTGCACCTTGCAGTGAGATTCCTTCTCACTGGGGGCTGCCGTCCCCATACCGCGTGTCCGTTGTAGACACGCGTGACTGCATTACCAGTAGGGCGCCCCGCGCCAACTGATCCGTCGCGTTGTTTGTTCGACCGTGACGATACCCTGTATCGCCACGTCGACTTTGGACCGAGTGTACTGGTGTCGTACGCTCGCGTGCATAATGTCCGATGTTTCTTCACCGGAAGCATCGCACGTTGGTTCTCGTCCCCTGATGCCCCACAGCAGTTGCACTTGAAAGGTTCATTGGTTCAGGACCTTCCACCTCATCCGCCACCTCAACCGCCGGTTCGGGTGGGAGTGGAACGTTTACATGTAGTTTAGCCTGCCGCAGGCTAAATCCTTCTTGCATGGCGAGAGTTATCGCAGCTTTGAGAGTACGCGGGTACTCTAGGAAAAGATAGGTCTTCACAGGCCCATCCTTCAGCCCCTTCATGAACGTGACGACCTTGGTCGTCTCGTCAAACGGTTTCGTCACGACGTTTGAGACCAAGTACCGTGCACGTTGGGCGTACGCATGACCATCTTGCGAACCCTGCTGCAGGTCGAGAAACTCTGCTCTCGACCGGAACTCATTCTTCGGGGGCTCAAACTTGCGTTTGAGCCCCTTCTTGAAGGATTCGTGCGTGCTGAAGCACGTAGGATCGGTGAGTCGGCGCCCGTAGGCCTAACTTCGCGCTCGTTCGCCAAGACAAGACATGGCGAAGGCAACCTTCGACAGTGGGTCGACAATACGTCGAGCCATAATGGCAGTGTCGAGTTCGACAAGCCAACGAAGAAAGGTCTCAGCTTCTTTGCCTTCGTAGTTACTCACGTGTAACTTCAGATACGCCTTCCACGGTGACACCCCGGGTTACACAGTATTCGCGACAGCAACCTCACGTCGGCGATAGCGTGCGCAGCATTGTCGCTACGGCCGCCTCTCCAATGACCGTTGACAGTCGTTGGAGCGCCTCCAACTCTGGATCCGCCAGATGGGGGCGGTCTGCACGCACCACATGCGTCGCAGCTATGTTGCGGCTTCCGATAAACATCAGGTTCTCTTGCCCGTGTTCATAACTCATACGAACAAGGTAGTCGGTTGTTGGACGGACTATAAAGTGCTACCAGATTTAGTGGACCTAGGGCTCACTAGGTAGCTTACACGTGTGCGCACGTGTAGGAGGAAGGTTGTATAGCGTACACACGCATCGTGTGTACGGTAAGACAAGATAGGAGCAAGATAGCGTAAAATGAGAACTGTATTATTTGTTAAGGGTTTTCTTCCTAAACTGTTTATCGAATATCTAAGGGACTGTCAGCGGTTGGCTGACAGTGATTCGCATCGCTGATTGGTAGTGGTGTGGCGCACTCTACCAATAGGATCCCTTCAAATGCAGTCTTGGTGTGTGAACACACCAAGACGGGAAACCTCTAACTCTAACCGATTAGCGTTACGGTTAGAGTTTCGTGTAACCCCGTTACATGTGCGGCCTCATCGTTGATCTTCACTACCGGATCTCGTCCAACCGGTTCAATGTCACTAGATCCTGAATCGCCTTCTCAGACACGACCTCGAT